AGATCCGCCTCCGCCCAGTCCGCCGCCGCCGCATCCGCCCTCGCCACATCCGCCCTCGCCGCCGCCGCCCTAGCCACGCGTCCCTCATCGCCGCCTCCGAGCCTGCCGCCTCCCTCGCCGCCTCTACCGTCGCCCCGACGGCGCAGCGGCGGCGCAGCCACCCGCTTACGCGTTACGGCATCGTCTTGGGGTTGTGCTCGCGCCGGCCGACCTCGCCGAGCCGCTAGCGCGCGCGAGGGAGGCATGTGCGTTGCGCCGCTCAGCGGCCGTGGAGGGCGAGCGCGGGGGATGCGCGCGCTTACTAGTAAGTGCTACATTGTGCGTGCTGTATGTCGGTCTGCACACTGTACAGTGCCACGGTGCCAGTGGGGTGTGAATGTGAACACTGACCCTCACACACTTAGGGTTGGTCAACCATGTGGGTGTCTATGTGTTTCCCTCGGGCAGTAGATTCTTATTTCATCGTCAAAAAGCGCCCGTATTCACTTGCCAAAATCGCGACCCGGGGTGTTCGACCGGGCTACGACTACTCCTCGTCCGACGAGTACTCCGTCTCGCCCTCCCACGCCACGACGGCGCCGACAGGAATGGTCATGGCCGTCCGCTCGAGGTCCGCGACCCGGTTGGCGAGGCGTTTGGCGAGGCGCTCCGCGCGGCCGAGCCCGAGGCCTCGAGTGCAACACAACCCCGGTCCCTTGGTCCGCCGAAACGAGATTGTCTCAAGCACCACGTATATTTGGCATTCGCCAATTTGGTGAAGCTCTCTCCTTCATGCTCTCGTCTCTCGGTCACCAAACAGACACAAATGCCGGTTCGGCGCTCCTCTGACCGACGGGGAAGGGCTTAGTGCGCGTCGGAACCTGGCCGGGCGGCCAGCGGCCGCTCGTCACCTTCCCATCGGGCTGCCGGGAGGAAGGACGAGGGAGGGGATCATCGCGGGCAGCTTGGCCGGCGTGACAGAGGGTGTCATCTGCGGCGTGAGCTGCGGCTTGGGCGTGTAGCCGTCGCCGTGCGTGATGGTGCCGAAGGGCCGACCGCCGTCGAAGACGTTGCCGGGGCCGAGCCAGACGCACGCGCCGTCGGGGACGGCGGGGGCGCGCCCCGTCACCTCGAGCAGCGCCGCCGGCTGGCAAAAGACGATCGGCGCGCCGGAGTTACCGCTTGCGCTACAGTGCGACATCGACAGCAGCCCTGCCGGCTTTAGCGGCAGATCGCCGACCGCAAGTGCCTCGACCCCCTCGAGCGCCAGCGGAGGCGCCGGCGGCGCCGGCGCGGCCGCGGCGGGCGGCGACCAAATGACGTCCCCGCGGACCGCCGCGACCTCGCTCGTCGACGCCGCGATCACCTCGCCCCTCGCCGCCGAGAGCAGCTCGGCGGCTGGCCCGGCTAAGGGGCTGTGAAAGAACTCGGCGGCGGGCGGCGGAGCGGAGGCGGGCGCCTCGGCCGCGCGAGGCGGCGCCGCCGCGCCGAACCGCGACTCCGCCCACGCCTCGCGGCCGCCGGGCGTGGACGACAGTACCGTCGACGGCCCCGCCGCCGACCGCCTCACCCCGAGCAGCGACGTGCCGCCCCCCCCGCCGCCGCCACTACCGCCCGGGCCGCCGCCGCCGCCGCCGCCGCTGCAGCCGCCCGTGTCTCCTCCGCCCCCGCCCCCGCTGGATGGCGCGCCGCCGCCCCTCGCCACCGAGAACTCGATGCGCAGCTGCACCGCCCCCTGCCCGGCGGGGCACGCGGCGCCGTCGCCGCCGCCGTTCCGGCGCAGCGTCACGTGCTGGAGGCTGACTCTGGCGCGCGGCGAGATTTGGATGCCTGCAGTGAGAAACGCGACCGTCAGGGTGTGGAGGGAAGGGATGCGATCACAGCGAATGCAAATGCGGCTGAGTACGGCTGAATGCGGTTGATAATACGGCTGAATACGTGTTCCTCTCGGGGGCTGGTCTGCTAGATTGGATGCCAGAGGTGAAGGCGTCCGAGACGGAACAGTGGCTCATCGAGAGGTGCGCGCCGCCGAGCACGCGCACTCCCTCCAGTCCGCCGCACCTGTTCGCAAGTCGAGGTGTGCAAAGACACTGTCCACAGGAGCTCGCGCACCCCCTCCGGTCCGCCGCACTCGACGGCGCAGTGCGACATGCTCAGCCAGCCGCGCGAGACGCGGACCACACCCTCGCCGCCGCCCCGCGCACGCAAGGTGAGCCCCACGAGAGAGATCGACTTTGCGCTCGCCTCCACAAAGGACGCGTCGTCGGCGCCGTTTGTGAGTACCGTCGACCTCGCGCCCTCGGCGCCGCGGATCGTGACGCACTCACGCAGCCGGCCGAGTGCGGCAGCCGAGTGCCTCCCGGGCGGCAAGATCACCTCGTCGCCGTCGCAGCAGCAGCACAGCGCGTCCTGCGGGGCGAGAGGGAGGCAGGGCCGTTCGGAAGTGCTCGCCGTTCGGGGGTGGTCGCGGACGTGTCGCGGAAGTGTCTCCGGGAGTGCGTCGGAGGGGTCGCGGGGGCGCCGCGGCAGCAGCGCTGAGGACGGGCCGGCCCTCAACGAGAGGAAGGCCGGGTGCGCGGGAATCGGCCGTGTGTGTGGGGGGGGGGGGGGGGCTCGGCGGCTGACAGCTTGGGGTGCAGCGCGGGCCAGAAGTGTCTCGGCAGTGTCTCGGCAGTGTCTCGGCAGTGTCTCGCGGCCTGCAGGGTGGAGTGCAGCGCGAGCCGGATGTGCGCCGGCGAGGCGGCGGGGAGGAAGAAGCGCGGGCCGGCGGCGAGGGCGGCGTGGAGCGCGGCATCGTCCTTGTCCTCGGCGTCCTCCAGGTCGGCGGCGAGGCAGAGGTGCGGCGGCAGTGTGGCGCCTAATCGAAGCGAAGCCTCCGCGAGGGTGCGGGTAGGCGCGATGGGCCGGCTGCGGAGGAGGGGCGGGAGAGGGTTGCGCCGACGTAGTGGTGGACGACCGTGTCGCTGGGCTTATCGGCGTCGATCACGCCGGTCGGCCTCGCGCCTCGCGGAGGCACCACCTCGCCGCGCAGGTCCCCGTCCGCCGCGAGCTGCGGCGCATGCAAGGGGCGGAGTCTGGCAGCGAGAAGGGGCGGAGTCTGGCAGCGGTGGTGGTGAGCGGGGCCCAGAGGCACCTGCCGGATGGTCGAGAGCACCTCGGGCACGTGGCTGCTGACCGTCTCGACGGCGCCCTCGACACGAGCCCGCTCCTCCCGCAGCGCGGTCGCTCGCACGCGCGCCGCGCCCAGCGACACCCGCAACCCGCCGCTCGTGACCACCTCTCCGCCCGGCAGCGGCATGGCAATTGCCGCCTCGAGCGACCGCAGCTCACTTCCGATTGCTGCAGCCTCCTCACGCATCTTTTGGAGGCTCACGGCGAGACCGGCGTCGCCCTGGAAGATCTGCTGGCTCCGACGCACTCTCGCTCGCCGGGCTGCCGCCGCGGCAGCGGCATCTCCTGCCTTTTGGCCGTGCAGCAGAGTGCGGCCAAGCAGGCTCGCCGACGCGTTGACGTGCGCCTTGATGTCCTCGAGCAAAGCAGCCTCGATACTCGATTGACGCCGGCGCTTCATGTGGATGGTCGGGACAAGTTGTTGTGCCGGGTGCCGCTGTGTCCGGGCTTCTGCAGTCGTCACGCGTTTTGGGAAAAAGTATTATCGGAAGGTTCTCGAGGTGGATTCGACTCGGACACACTGCTCCGAGGGCAAGGGAGAGGGGCTGGCCCCTAGCCCTAGAGGAGAGCTTCCGAGACCCACTCCAAGACCACGCACGCATCATCCCGCGGCCTGGCGGTCGGCGGGATTGCAATCAGTCTTCGCGTGCCGCCTGTCGTTCGCTCGGGCGCCTTGGGCGTCGGGGTGGCGAGCAGGGGACGCGGCTCTGAGCGCCCAGCGACGCGTGCCGGATGGAGTCCGGCCGCGGGTGACTAGGGAAGTTCGCTCAGGATGTGTGGCAGTCAGTTTGGCTGAGTGTCTTGTCTTGTGGGTTCTGTGTGTCGCTCCTGTGTGACCGTCATCGCCCGTCTAGCGTCCACCCATACCGCGTTGGTGTCCCAGTCGTTGGTCGGACTGTGTTTCGCCTTCCCATCAATCAATCAATCAAGGTGGATATCCTTTGGCCGCGTTGGGTAGCGAGGATTGGTGAGAGAGAGAGAGATTGGTGTGACACGCGTTGAGGAAAAAAAGAATATATAAACCTTTGTACTCCAAGTGCTCCAAGTGCTCCAAGAGTATGAAGCGGAGTTTTAAAAACAAGAACCGAAAAGAACAAGGAAAAGAAATCGCGGGCGGGGGGGGGGGGGGCTGTGACCCCAAAGGGGTGCGTGTGTGTGGCAAACAACAATATTTTTAAATTTAATAAATTTTTATATCACGGTTTTTGAGATTCGCCTCGCAGATTACCCGCCCAACGATATTTTCCTGCTTAGCGCGATTTCCGTGAAACCAGTTTACCCAGTCTCCCACAATTCATGTTTCAGCTTACCCGGTCGCTAAAATTTCTCAGGGCAGATTACCCGGTCGACCAAGTTTACAAAAAGGATAAATTTCAGATTACCCGGTTTTTGAGATTCGCCTCGCAGATCACCCGGCGTTTTTCAGATCACCCGGCGTCTGCGAGTTTTTGCCTCGCAGATCACCCAACACGGCGAAATGTCGTTTCCAGATTACCCAACACGGCGAAATGTCGGTTGTCGCTTCCAGGTTACCCGGTCACGAAATTTCTTTTTCCAGCACCGCCTGTTCTCCGCTAGTGGGGGAAATGGTGATTTTTGAATGAACGCCTCGCGCAAAACCACCGCTACCATGCCACAGAAGACCCTTGTGTGCTATCCAGAACACCTAAGATCATGGCCTAGCTCTAAAATGGGCCCGAGATACGCCAGCTAAACCCCGGATTTTTTCCGGCAGCGGGCCACACATGGCCGGCTACCCAGCCCGGCGACACCAAAATACGTCTACGCGAGTCCATCCGCTACGTCTCAACTGCGCAGCCTTACGCGGGGCGGTGGCTCGACACAAAACTCGACGGCAGCAACGCCACATGCATTCCAGACGACATATTCATCGGCGAGCTTCAGCGCCGAAACGGCCTTCACCTCTCGCAGTGCCGCTCGACTGTCACGCGGGCACTCGAACTTGGGGACACAGTCGGTGGTGCAAAGGACTACCATGGCGACTGGTTCCTCAACAACGCCGCCCGGCGGCGCCCACACGACGGCGTACTTCGCGCCTGGTACGATTGTGTCCACGCCGTCTCCGTCTCCCGGCCCGTTATGGGAGATGCCGAAAAACCAGAACTCACCAAACAGTTCAACGAGGGCTACAAAACCGACCTGGCTGAACCGGGCGAGGCTCCCGGGGGCAAAGACGAGATCAGTGAGGTCAAACTTTGGACCCCCCTCCGGGGTGGCTTGCCCGTTGGGGTGCCGCGCCGACACCGGAGGCAACCCCGGCTCCGTTGGAGACAAGTTCGCCTTCGGCAACAACGAAGAGCGCGCCCGCCTTGCAAACATGGGCTGCAAGCAACGCGGGTTCCGTGGTCAACGGGCGTTCGACCACACCACCGGCCAAGGCTACGTCAAGTCACAGCGTGGCCACTACCATGATGGGATCTTCACCAAACGCAACAAGTTCAACCTGCTTCTCCACGAGACATTCGGCGGCGGCTTCTCGCCGCCAGCAGTTGCAAAGATCAACCGCCTTGCGCGCAAGGCTCAACGCTCGGGCGTTGACCGCACCGCGTACCCTCCCCACTCCCGCCTCTCATTTGTGTCACACCACGCGGAACGCATCTCCATCGCTTCGGTGAAGGGGGTGAACCGTGCCATCCTCGATCGCCGTGCAAAGCTCGCTTCCGACCGCTCTCACGCCGCGCGTAGGGCCCTTAGGGGCCTAGAGAACACAACCCCCTCTCTCTTTTCTCCCAGTAAGCTATAAGTACGTACAAAAGAGAGAGAGTAAGCTATAAGTACGTACAAAAGAGGCCGACGGACCCTGGGTACCGGTACTGTCGTGGTCTAAAGTCTGGGCAGGTTGTCGGGGACACGATCCCGGCGTGAACACAACTAACTGACGGATCCGCTCCTGACAGTCGCACGCGCCGCGCTGCGGCGCGTGCGACTGTCTTTGTTTGAAGTTAAAAGTCGAATCAGAGCGCCGTCGGCGTTGTCCCCGGATTTCCTCCCACGGACCGCCCGTCCGGCACCGCTCCGGGACGCACGCCGGCGAAGCACCATCAAGCTGCTGTACGGCCCCGGCATCGCCTCCCCTGGCTTAGCTCTCAATCAAGATATTGTGCACATGGGTGGCCTCTACAATATACTCACTGACACCCCCCCTCCCAGAGCTCGTCCCGGTCCGCCACGGCCATCCTCGGCCTCCGGAGGGCCCCCGGCCGCGGCGCGGTGCGGCGGCGTCACAAATCCGACGGCAGAGCACCGGGACGCGGTCGGGCGATCTGAGGCCCAGTGAGGCGTATGCATTGCCCATCCAGGGCTATCACCTGGACCCATCAACAGGCGCCTGCGGCGCCGTGCTCAGGAGCTGCTGCTCCAAGCTGTTCACACTTTCGTACGGTACAGTACCGGTATGCTTGTGCAATGCAGGAGCTACCGCCTGCTCGACAGCGGCGGCGCGTCCCGGCTCGAATCGTTCGGCGACCTGGTTGTGCGGCGGCCCTGTCCGTCGGCGCTGTGGCAGCCAGGCCTGCCGGCGAGCCGCTGGGACAGCGCCGATCTCGTCCTCCAGCCCGAGGCCGATGGCGCATGGGAAGGTGCCCGCGCCAACCAACTCGGTGAGCAGTGGTACATGGCGTCGGAGGCTGGCTTCTCGCTCGGGCTATGGCCGGGTCAGAATGGACAAGTTGGGGCCTTTCCGGAGCAGGGAACGAATTGGCGCTGGCTCCGCTCCGCCTGCGAGGCCTCGCCGCGACGCATCCGCGTGCGCAGCCTGCTACCCCTCTCGCGGCCCGGGCTATCCGTGCCACGCGGTGCGGCCCGGGCTATCCGTGCCACGCGGTGCCATCGCACGCCCCAACCGGCTTGCAGGTGCTCAATCTGTTTGGCTACACGGGCGGATCCTCGCTGGCGTGCCTCGCCTCGCGGAACGCGGACGTCACCCACCTCGACGGCGCCCGCGCCGCCGTCTCTCGCGCGCGCTCCAACGCCGAGCTGTCGGGCCTTTCTGGCGAGCCTGTGCGGTGGATCGTCGATGACCCTAGAAGCGGAACACGCATGCTTGCATCCCAACTGGCGCTCGAGAGGGCACGCACTCCGCTGTATTCGGCCGTGTTCGGCCGTCTTCACTGTAGTCGCTCCCTCGTATCACGCGGTGCTCGGAATACTCCGCAGATATCTTCCCGCCCCGATCCTGGCGTGTTCCCGTTTTAGGTCGATGACGCCCTCACGTACGTCCGGCGCGCCGCGCGGCGAGGTGAGCGGTACGACGGGATCGTCCTCGACCCTCCGGCATTTGGGCGCGGTGGGTGACCGGCCGCCGCCCCATCTGCCGCCGCCCCCTGCCGCCACCACGACCGCCGTCCACCGCCACCCTGCACACCCGCACGCCTTGCGCCGCCACCGCGCCCCGCCCCGCCGCCGCCCGCCGCCAGGCGCCAAGAGGGAGTGGCGCATCGACCGCGACCTCCCGCTGCTTTCCGGTCCGCCTGCCCCGCCCCCCCCCCCCGTCCGCCCACCCCGCCCCGCCCCGCCCCGCCCCGCCCCCGCCCCCGCCTCGCGTCGGGCGCTCGCGGCACCAGCCAAGATCTGGCCGAGATCGACGGCGGTGCGCCGGCAGGCCTCCTCGCCGAGGTCCTCTCCGACGATCCGAGCTTCGTGCTCCTCTCGGCGCACGACCCGAGGCGCGCGAGCCCCGCGTGCCGGTCACGATTCCTCCCTTCCATTGGGGCGGGAATGGGGCGATCCAAGAGGCACACAGACTCGGCAGAGCCTCGACAGAGCCTCGCGTGCCGCCCGCGCAGGTGGCCCGTCGCCGCGCTCGACGGGCAGCTCCGCGAGATCACGCGTGGCGCGTCAGCGGTGCGGGGCCGCTGCGAGCGGGGCGAGATGCTCCTCCGCGCACGCGGAGGGGGGCGCGATTTGCACATGGGGGTTTACAGCCGATGGGCCGCCGGCACCGTATGAGTTGATTTTTATCTTTCGTTTTTTCGCGAACGACAGCCGCACCCCCGCGCCCGTGCGCCGTGGGGGGGGAGGGGGGGCGCCCCGAGCCCGACTAGAAAGAAGTAGAATGTACGCGAGAACGGAGAAGCACAATAGGATAATATGTGGCCCATATGGCATATGCTACGGCTTTAGTTGCTACCAGGTCACAGTATGGAGCACTTGTGGAGCACTTGGAGTGCAGTGTTCATTAGCCTCACATCCAGGGCCGGGGAGCTGAGAAGCGCTCGCTCCGCACCCAGCGGGCCGGATGATCGGTATCGGGTTACGGGCTAGAGAGCCCTAGCCCCGGGGGTGCGCGTTCGCAGGGAAAGGGCCGTCAAGTAAACACGGGTCCCCGAGGGTTGGCTCTGCGCTCCGGGTTTCCCCTAGCAGCGGAACGCCCCCTCTACTCGGGGCTAGTAGACACCAGACACTAGCACGACAATAGGGTTGTCAAACGTTAAGAGCTGAACAGTGTTGCTAGTGTTAACAGTAACAACAGAACAACAGTGGGGCTCCCCAACAACAGTAGCTAACGTTAGGCCGGCTGAACAACAATAAGGAAGGCCTGGCAGTGACCCACGACGATCTCCAGCGTCCAGTGCGGGTAATACCCGAAAATACCCGGGAAAACCCAGGTATTTTCGGGTTTTACCCGGGGTTTTTGGCATTTTCTGCTTGCTGACCACGGAACAACAGTAACAACAGTAACAAAGAGTAACAGCTTGGGCTGGGCTAGGGGCTGGGGAGAACACTTGAACAACGTTGAGGATTTCAGCCATGGAAGGCACCGAGAGGTACACCAAATAGTCAAAATCAAGGTTTTGTAACGCGACTCCACACAGACAGTGAAATGGAACTAGCCTAACTTCAGTCTTCCGTCACCGTAAAGGGGAAAGACCCAGTTCACCGTTGACCAACGGTTGTGCGCCAGGCCCTCCTGCTCGGCTCCAGCCAGTAGACAAGTATTGTCATCAACAGAGTAGAAGGATCTGACCTCGGGGCCGATGTGACCAAGCGCTGGTAGCGTGGTTTTACCTCACACCCATGGTCTCACAGTGTGCCGGCAGTCGCCGAGCAGTGTCGCTCACACAAGCCGCAGCACAAGTGACTGAGGGCCAGTGAGGGCGAGCCCATCGCTGTCACAGCTGTGGCAGCCGCACAGTAAGCTGTGCCATCTGTGCAGAGTGTGTGAGCAGCAGAGGAGCTGCTCTCCAGGCTTCTGTCGCAAAGAAATGCATGCCGCCGAAAGCGCTGTCGAGGTTTGCCGCGAGCTTGGCGAAATCCGGGGACGCCGCCACCGACGAGCGCGTGTTGGACTCTTTTCACTCCGGACAAAGAGACGGGGCTACACGCACACGAGCCGCGGTCGTGTAGCCGTTAGCGGCGAGGCGCGGGACCGTCTGTGGCGAAGCACGCAAGCAGCTCGCGTCCCCCTTTTCCCCCTCAACTCACGGTCCTTCCCCCGTATCACACGTGCGTGGGTGCTCGCCATCCTCCAAGTGCATGATGCTGCTGCTGCTGCTGCTGCTGCTGCTGCTGCTGCTGCTGCTGCTGCTGCTGCTGCTGCTGTTACGTCTTCGGTCCCCGCGGGAAGCCCCGCGCATAGGACAACAACGTCTGTCCCACACACACACAGACGCGCACATACATCATGCTCGGGCACACCCCACGGTGTAGTGGTGTGAGTACACAAGTACTAGCAGAGTGCACACCTGCCTTGGCGGGTGAGGGTCGTAAGAATCAAAGCCTCTTGGTGCCACACGTGCTCGAGCGCGCCGAAGAGAGACGATCTACGCTCGCGGGAGTTAGCGAAAGTCGCACGGGCAGAGGGGAGACCGAGGCCTCCGGCAGTCCGCACCGCCTCGCGAAAGGGAAGCAACGATCAACTCCAGATTGGACTTGGGTGCGCCGAGCGCCGGCGCGTAGGTCGCGACCGACGCGCAGCGCGGGCACGTCGCGAGCACAGGAACAGGAGCGCCGCGGGTTTCACTAGCCTGGTTGTGCCGGGCAGGGCAGTGCTTGAACGACCACATCGCTGGCGCGGTGAGCACCGCGATTGCCGCGACAGCGCGGTGGCGGGCGAGCGCCGCCAGCGTGGGCGAGCGCCGCCAGCGCGGGCGAGCGCCGCCAGCGCGGGCGAGCGCCGCCAGAGCGGGCGAGTGCCGCCAGCGCACGCGAGCGCCGCCAGCGCACGCGAGCGCCGCGGCGTGTGGACGCGTCCCGCCCAGGTGCCGAGCAAGCTCGCACCTCGGGCGCTACGCGCGCGTGCCGGGCCGGGCGGCCGACTGCATGATAATGGTTAATGCGCCGAAAAGAAAAAATGTTCCAGACGCAAGACTCTACTTGTACTTGTGCATATGCACATGTGCATGTGTGTTGTGTGAGCCAACCAGTGGGAGCACGCGCAAGCCGCACAAGCCCTGCCGCCACCGCTCCCTTTGCTAGACGACTAGGCCAAAGCGCGCGCAGAAAAGCTTGTCGACCGCTCCCGCCCCCTCTCTGCCCCTCTGCCCCCCCTTCTCTCTCCCTCTCCCTCTCTCACCTCCGCCGGTCGGAATAGTAGTCGCGCCCGCGCCGCCGGTCGTAGTCGCGGTCGCGGTCGTACGACGAGCGGCGGTCGCTGCGCTCCCGGCTTCGGCTGCGGCGGCGGCCGCTGCGCTCCCGCTCGTAGGAGCGCTCCCGCCCGTCCCGCTCATAGCTTCCTCCTCCGAGCTGGCCGCGCTTTCGGTCTCGCGGGGTGTCGCGCGACGGCATCGGCTCGCGCTCCCAATCGCGGGAGTGGATCTCGCCGTCGGCGGCCGCGGCGTCGATCAGCTCCTGCAGAGACACGATTCGACAGGATTCGACAAGATTCAACGAGATTCGATGAGGGAGAGGCGAGCGCGGCCGAGGTGCAGCCGAGATGCAGCCGAGATGCAGCCGAGATGCAGCCGAAGTGCAGCCGAGGTGCAGCCGAGGTGCAGCCGAGGTGCAGCCGAGGTGCAGCCGAGGTGCAGCCGAGGTGCAGCCGAGGTGCAACCGAGGTGCAGCCGAGGTGCAGCCGAGGTGCAGCCGAGGTGCAACCGGGATGAGCCAAATTCTACAGCCGCTCCTTGACCGTCAGCTGCATCTTGTTTCGTTCGAGCGACGTGCGGCAGAGGAGGAAGCAACGCTCCACCCACCTGTTCATGGAAGGCTCAGGGAAGGTTCAGAGAAGGTTTTGCAGATGCCGGAGGAAGCACCGCTCCACCCACCGCTTCAGCGAAAGAGGCCACTCCGACGCTGGCGGCGCCCCCCCCCCCCGACCCTTCCGCGGCGGAGACACACCGCCCGCCCCCGCCCCCGCCCCCTCCCCCTCCGCCGCGCCGCCGCCGCCCGCCTCTGCCGCCGTCGCAACACCACCCGCCGCACCGCCGCCGCCGCCGCCTCCGTCCATCGGCGCGGCGGCGGCGCCACTGCCGGTCCCGTCCCCTTCCCCGCACTCGCCTCCGCCTCCGCCCCCTCCCCCTCCTCCCCCTCCTCCCCCTCCGCCTCCGCCTCCGCCGCCACCACCGCCACCGCCGCCACCGCCGCCACCGCCGCCACCGCCGCCACCGCCGCCACCGCCGCCACCGCCGCCTCCTCCGCCGCGCAGCGTCCGCTCGTACGCCTACGATCTCGGCCAACCTCGGTCAACCTCGGGTGATCTCGCCGGCCACGGGGAGGGGACATCTCCTCGAGGGCTCCTCCATCGCCGCAACTGCTGGGTCGACAGCC